CCAAAAGGGATCCTAATTTTGACAACGACCCACCTGACCAACCGACATGAAGACCTGGCGACCACCTGGACGGTGTCGAAAGATCATCTGCATCTCCCGGGCCGTGGTATTGCGGTTTTCATAGTCCAACGCGTTGTCGCTGTTGCAGGTGACCAAGTCCCATTCGCCGACATGATCCACCATGAAATCGCAGAAGCGCATGGTCCACTTACCTAGGTCGCTCTCTCCATTCACCCTGCTCATCTCAGCCTCCTCGCAGCTGGCGGGCTTCAAGCGAAAGGCATTGCACATGTAGAACTTATCGCAGTAGCGGCCAGGATGTCTCTCCTCACGCCCTTTCATGTACTTCCGGATGAAGCGGTCCAAATGCCCATAGACTCCATTGGTGTCGGGCCCAGAGATCTGAACTGCGCTGTGCCACGTCGGAGGAGACTGGGAGGGTAAGGGAATGGTGCGCAACTCGACCATCAGCAAAGGTGCCGATGCCTTCTCAGGGCTACGGGTGAACCTTAAACCCTAAACCCTAAACCCTAAACCGTTCGATCATCAGCAAAGGTGCCGATGCCTTCTCAGGGCTACGGCTGAAGGTCACTTGATGCTCTCCCTGGCTTCCGTTGGAGAGCGCCAGGGCCCAGCCCTGAGATCCCAGGAACTCCGCTAAGTTCATGGTCAGCTTCCCGAAGTTGGTTGTGTAACGATCGCGGAAGAAGAAACCCCAAGGGACTTTGTACTTCAGGTCACAGAAGCTCTCTAAAGGATAGGAGCTGTACTTTTCGCACTTCTGCTTCTCGAAGTACTCAGCCAGATGAGGCTTCAGGTCTTCTGCATCCTGGAGGCCGGTGATCTCGACGTAGCCAACCCTCCGAAACTCGACCATAATGTGATCTGAGCCCTGCTGGATAAACTCATCCTTGCGAAAGACCAGCTGCGACTCTCGCATGTTCCCGTCCTTTCCGAAGTTGCCGTTGCTTCGCGAGACCAGCGACCATTGACATTTCTTCACCATGAAATCAACAACTTGCATGGCTTTCTGCCCCATGTTGTTCTCTCCCTGCACGCCTCGCGTCTCCAAGGCATGTGTTTCGAACTTCATGTTGCAGTAACCTGGATCAGCATCTTTCTCCTTGGCTACAAATGCTTTTGTTCGGAAGAAGCTGCGTAGCTTCTCGAAGATGCCCTCGCTGTCTGCACCATTCACATAGATGTTGCTCCTTGTGTCGCAGACACCGAGTTTGTCCGGGCACCCCAGATGTAGCTCAATCATCACCAAAGGAGCGATCATGCTCAGGGGGTGAGGTGCCTTGAACTTCATCTGCTGCTCTCGGATGTCCCCGCGTCGCCCTAGATTCGCAGCATCACAGACCTGAAGTGTCCAACCACACTCCTGAGTCATGAAATGTGCTAGCTGCATCGTCAACTTGCCCATGTTGTTCTCACTATCAATTACGCTGTCCCGGTCTTTGTAGATCTCGTGGCGGCGTGCTGGGATGCCACTCGGGCGCATCGGACCCATTGTGTAGCTCTTGTCACACAAGCGGTGGTGCTCCTCCATCTTACAGACCTTCATGGTGGTGCTGTAGCCACAGCATCCACAGTCCGCTTCCTCTTTGCAAACTTGCATCAGGTCTTCCTGCTTCTCCTGCATTTTCCAATGCGCTTTCAGCCACTGGTCCAAGCGTTGGTAGATGCCTCCGGTATCTTTGCCCTGGATCTCTACAAAGCCCATGGATCGAATTTCAAGGAGGAGGTGTGGGACGCGAGTTTGCTGGTCCAGCTCCCTCAAACCTTCCTTCGCAAGCTGAAAATCCTGCTTCAGCTTCTCCTCTTGGCGAGCCAACCTTTCCTGGACATCTTTGCTGGGCTCGCCACCCATGTGCACTTGGCCAACCAAAAGGGGCCTAGCTGCACTTTTTCTAGACGTCGCTTCGGGCCGCCACTTGAGCCTGACAGGATGCAACCCAGGCCTATGAGGATGGATCGAAGCTGCTCCGGCAATCCCATTCCTGTAACATGTCGCGAGTTTTTGGCCGTGCACAAGCAAAACGGGCTCCCTGTAGGGTTTTGGAGTTTAGGGTTTTGGAGTTTAGGGTTTAGGGTTTTGGAGTTTGGAGTTTAGGGTTTTGGGGTTTAGGGTTTGTTTTCCTCCCACCTAGCCAGGACGAGCCCGCATTGCAGGGTTTAAAGTCAGAGAGAACAACGGAATGGTTTAGGCTTTAGGGTTGTTTTTCAGGGATTAGGGTTTAGGGCTTAGCCCAACACCCCGAAGTTCAGGAAGATCACTCAAACCACGATAGCCTGTGCAATTTAAGGTATGTTGCTCCGCCTTAGGTCACGGAGCTCTTGGGACTGTAGCCTTGGGTGTATGTGGATCTTCTGCATAAGAAACCACAGGGGGCATGTGCGTCGGCGGCCTGCTACTGCACTTGGGGCTCCCCTGCCGTTTAAAGCCCTTGCCGCAACGTCGGAGAGTTGATGGTTTGAATAGGGTCTGGGGGTCTGATACAAGAAAGGGATACTTTTTCAAATAATTCAGAACCGTAGAACCCTAAACCCAAAAATGTGGAACCCTAAACCCTAAACCGTGGCTCTTATGCTGCTTCAACATTGCAATGCCTGCCATGTGCCCAAGATCCTCTGAGCCAAAACACCGATGATGTCGCCGGGCACTCGCTGGCTCTGCATGGCCTTGCGAGAGCTCGCATTGTTTTAGTTAATTTGGCATCTCATGTTTGGGTTCAGGGTTTAGGGCCACGCCTGCACCATTTGGTCTGCGACACCTGCACCATTTGGTCTGCGACACCCAGGTCACCCTTTTTTGAACCCAGGCACAAGTCACCCTAAAATCTAAACCCTCAACACTAAATCCCGAAACCCCAAACACTAAACCTTAAAGCCTCTCTATCGAATAGTGATTTCAGCCTTATATAATGATCTTCGTCGGCAAGGTTTCGTGGGCAAGGTCCGTTTCTTCGTGGGCAAAGTCCGTTCAAACTTCGTGGGCAAGGTTCGTTTCTTCGTGAGCAAGGTTCGTGGGCAACGTCCGTTTCTTCGTGCGCAAGGTCCGTTTCTTCGTGGACAAGGTCCGCCCTAAACCCAGCAGCCCCAAACCCTAAACCCTAAACCCTAAACCCCTAAACCCCTAAACCCTAAACCCTAAACCCTAAACCCTAAACCCTAAACCTAAACCCTAAACCCAGCAGCCCCAAGTCAGCAGCCTGATTCAGCCAGGAAGGCCGATCTTGGTGCATTAGGCTTCAGGGTTTAGGGTTTAAGGGTTTATATAGGGTACGCCTGATTCCAGCGGAGACTCCGGAGAATGTTCACCGGAGATCACAGCAGTTTGGGTTCCGAATCTGTCCAAAACGCTTGCTTAGGCTTTACCAATCAGTGCTCCTGGTGCTGCTTTGCACAGTTAAACCAGGAGAGGTGCCGTGGGGGGATGGCCTGTGACTGCATGGTTACGGCCCCTTACAAGCCCTAAACCCTTAAGGCTTTTGCATCCAGGACTCTCGCAATCAGCCCTTAAGACTTAAACTCTAAAGCCCTGAAGCTGTAAACCCCCAAACCCTAAACCCTTTAAGCCTTAAGCCCTAATCCCTCAATCTCTCTCTCTCTCTCTCGCGGACTCAGAGGTCTGTCAGCCGTGCGGCCGTCTAACACTTCGTCAGACACCGAAAAGAACCCCTCAATCTCTAAACCCCTAAACCCGAGTCCCCGACACTCTCGGTTCAATCCTAGAACCCTGGAAGCCCTCGAAACTCCGAGCTCCTAGCCCGCAAAAAGGAAACAAAACCATCCCCCCAAACCCAAACCCCAGAATCTGATGACTGTAATATGATGTAATGTGCTACTTTTTTTGGCTCCCGCTTGGCATCGTCGTTGACTCTGGTTTTAACATCATTTAAGTAACATTATATAACGTGCCTCAAACTCCCTGTGAACCGTTTCCCGGAACCCTCTACTTGCACCTGGCGCAGCGCAAGGGCTCGCTGCCACTTGCCCACATTGGCGGCTGCACTTAGTCCAGCATTTAGGGCCACCTGGCAGTGACAACAATATACGCTGATTCACAAACGCCCTTCCATGTCATACGAAGAATTTAGACAGCAACCCTAGTTTCTAATGCTAGGTCCGTTATATTTCAAGAAAGGGGTTTATTCATCTAGTGTCGATGTTGGCCGTCGGACGATATGGGGTGCAACATCAACCGCAAGATTCTAAGTAGCGGCAGTAAGGAGACTGACGCCCCAATTCGAAGTCGCTGTAGCGGAGCGCAGTTGCTCGTAGGTACGTGGGCAGCGGTACTACACAGGGCCTGCATGTTGATAACAAGAGCAGAGGACACCTGAAGAACCACACCACCGCAGGAAACTTGTCTAAGTACCCAAGAGGGAAATCCAGGCTAGGAGACACACGCGCATATAGACACATGCATAGATATACGTCTTGATGTGTCTGACAACATGACATACGTCAGCATCTCGTAGTTGCTGAAACAGAATCCAACACATAAACGGCTACGTAAACAAACAAAGCACTTAGTGAAGATATGTGCACATGCGATGTGTAAATACTTATACTTTTCACAAGGGACTCGCCTGCTGCCCTTACTGCCCAGTGTAAATACTTATATAAATAAATAAGACGAAAATACAAATACAGTCTATATAAACACACACACACACACACCAATCTAGATACCGTTTTCATGCCTATGTATATATGTAAACATGTTTAGGCATACAATATAGGTGCGTCCATGTGGGTATAAAAACTAATGCGATAGAGAACAAGGAAAAATATAATGTGCCGCCTATGCATCTACACCTAGCGAGCGCATGTCTGTAGTCGTGCCTACATATACGGCGACATGCTCAATAAACGAGTAGAGTGTATATGTAGATATATATATATATACATAACGCAATATTCATACATAAATGTACGTATGAGCTTACAAAACTTACTGCTATGGATGTAACATTCTGAAACCGCCAGCTACTGCATGGGCCAAAAACGCCAGCTTGCAGGCTTCTCCATGCCGTTTCGATTTATTTGCAAGTTTGGATTTGTTCACCTGTTTCGTCCTAACATTAATACATATCTGGTTTTAGTTTTCATATTGTAGATTTTGCTCACTATTCGTGCATGAGGTGTTCCTTCCTAGTTGTTTGGGTGCGAAGATGCGAGTTTACTAGGCACGTCAACTCAGATTCTATCAGGTATACCATTTTGCGCAGACTTCTGCATGCCCGCTTGGCATCCGGTAAACCTTTTTGCAACAGGCCTCGTTGTACAGCAGCCCGGTCCAGCCAAACACACATTCCGCTAACCTCAAACTCAAAACCTATCCGGTACACCTAAACGCAGAACCCTGGCCCCGTGTGCCAAACCAAGGCACAGCAGTTTTAGTTTCCCGCTCAGGGCTACGGATGAATGGTGGAAAGTGCCCTAACACCATGGCCGTGATGTGCAATTTTGCTTCATGGTGGTCGTGAGTTCGTGGGATCCACCTGAGTACAGCGCCAATGCCAATTTAGTCACAACGCAGGACGGATTGTATGAATTGCCATGGGCCAAGGCTACACCCATAGCCTCAAAAACATTCTCAAAGCCAGCGTGGTTTAGTGTTCGGGGCTTCGCGTCTCTACAAGCTATACAAAGCACAGGGTGAGTGAAGCGCCATTTGTATGCACATGCAGACATCCACCTACATCGCCAGCCTAACCAACAGAAAACCGAGACCCTAGACAAGGAAACCCTAAGCCTAAACGTAAACCCTTGAACTGCAACAGCCCGTCACTGAATCAACTTAACAGCAACAGCCGAAAGCCTGCTCCGGCAGCATGTCCGCCAGGACCATCCTCCCAGGAATTCGAAGCATTTCCCTAAGCTCCGGTTCCCCGAGAGCCCGTGATCCAGGGATTTTCCTAAAAGTCTGAAGCAAACATTTGTGCTAGACCCCTTGAGATAGGGAATACTACTACTTGACCACGATAGTCCTTATGATAATCTAAAGTACATTGCCTAACTCAAAGGCAACGTGGGCTGTCTACTTGGAGGTTCATAGTAGTTATAAGCGAGGCTACAAGTTGGGTTACTAGACTTGGAACCCATATTCGGGGACTTATAACCCCATATTGAACTACCCATGAACCTCCAAGTAGGTGTGAAAAGCACGCCCTCAAGAAGGGAGGCTGGCCGCAGCACCAAAGAATCAAAGAACTCTTTTTTGGGTTTAGGGATTAGGGTTTAGGGTTTTTAGGTTATTGCTTGCGATTAGAGTTCTGGTGCTTCGGGGTGTTCTAGGTGGCTCAGATGTACTCGTGGATGTTTGGTTGTCTTCCGCGACGGCCGCAAAGTCCTTGCAGCCCTCAACAAACAATCTACACCCTAGCCCGAAACCTTATAAGCCCTAAGGCCGACCCTTACATCCCAAACCACGCCGCGCTGACCCCCCCCCCCCCCCCCCCGACTCCCAGGAGGTCTGATGCGGGTCTGGAAAGCATAAGAGGGTGTAGGGATTCTGGATTCGGGTTGCATACACTTTTGTCATAAGCCTAACCCTTCTTACACCTGGGCTATGCAGAACCCCAAAAACCCTAAACCCGTGACCCTAACCCTAAACCCTGAAGTCTCGCCTCCGCAGGATCTGCAAAGCGTGCCTCCATTGGCAGCCTTTCGATGGGAAGGAGCTCCGCCAAGAAACAATTTCGGGATTCAGGGGATTGGGTTTGGGGTTTAGGGTTTAGGGCCAGTTTAGCGCTTTAGGGTTTAGCGATGCAAGGATGGGATTTGGGGTTTGGGCTTACTACTTAGTGTGACTACTGGGTTACTGCGTAGGCGTGCGCTCGAATCATGCGTAAAACGGCTTTTCAGTCCATGGGCGGCGAACTGTCACCGAGTTCTTCAACCGTAAAGCCTTTCAGGAGCTACGACTTAGGCGGCAGGTGAATATGGTTTAACTGCTGGCACTTACCGCCACAACAGTACTGCACCCACACCTTCCACGATCAAGAGATGCTTCATTATGTAGAGATGTAGAGGCGGTCAGAAACTCCATAACAAACCACTCCATCATGAAGCAGCTCACAAGCGTGACGGCTCGTCACGAGATCGACGGCAATCATCACCCGCGCGACTGTGCTATCGCGCAGTAGCCGGGCTTTGTAGGCCAGCCGTAACAAAATGGGGACCAATCACCAACCAAATCAGGATAATGGTGAGGATAGCTTGCGATGTCGTGTCTACGCTTTTCAGGATCCGATCCAAGTCGAACCACGACACCGGGCCGGTTGCTCGCACGATACGCCGATATGACAAGGTGTGGTTTGTCAACTGACACACCAATACCTGTAGAAGCTTGGTGCGAACGACGGCCTGGAAGCGTTCAGTGGGTCCGAACCAAGCAGAGATTCGCCGAAGAATGCTGTTGCGGTCGCAGATCATTGTCGCCCCCGTCCGGTCAACGTGGATATCCGTGCAACATTGGCTCGAAGAATCCTGCACACCTGCTTCTGCACCGTCTCGATGTTACGGCAGTAAGCGAGAACTACATATGCGAGCCAAGTTAGACAGGGGAAAGCCAGCGCTGCCATAGATAGTTCACCGCATGGCCAGTAAAGCAAAGGCGAATGGTCGGAAATAAGTAGCAGCAGGCACCAGCCGAAGTTGGCGGTAAGAAC